TCTCAAAAAAAAAAAAAAAAAAGAACAATGACAATTGCAACAACAACAAAAATAGCCAGGCAGTGTGGCAGGTGCCTGTAGTCTAAGCTACTTGGGAGGCTGAGGCAAGAGAATCACTTAAGCCCAATAGTTGGTAGTTGCTGTGAGCTGTGACACCACAGCACTCTACGGAGGGTGACATAGTAAAACTCTGTCTCAAAAAAAACACTTGTTTAGAACCTAGGGGTATTTTTTGAGATATCTCCCTGGTCCTGCATTCCAGTGGATAGACTGAAACTCAGATCAAATAACTGACTCAAGTGGTCTTGGACCCCCCACACAACAAAATGCATTCCAGTGGATCTGCCCACCCAGCCAGACAGTGGCCCATATCAAAGGGACTGATGGTTCTGCCCCAACCCAGCCAATTAGCAGACCCTGATTACCTAACCCTCTGCCCACCAAACTGCCCTTCAAGATCATGTCTCCTCAATTCTCAGGGAAGCAGATTTCTCTCATCTCCCTGCTTAACACTTTGCAGGATAAACTTTCTCTGCTATAAACCCTGCCGTCTCTGGATATTGACTTTCTCTTGGGCAGCAGACAGATGAACTTGGCTGGGCAGCAACACTTGGGTCACTATGAAAGTTGTGAGACAGACTGTGTTATGGTCCATTATCTGACCACCAAGAAACACAGTCAACAGAGTCCTTTCTGATTCACCCTGCAAGTTTCAACTCACTTGGTTGATCAGTTGAGAGGGCTTCCTTTGTTTCATTTATTTCCTTCCACAGGAAGGATTTTATGTTTCTTGATTTTTGTGTATCTCACAACATTCATAATGACCCACAGAAAAGATACACAGAATGAGACTGAAGATTTTCCAGGGATGGAAAAGGAGATTAAAGAAAGCTAGGATCATCTTTTCCTGATTAGCCTTTTCCTCTGACTTTCTTTCTCCTTGAAAACTTCTGTAGGCAGAATAACCTTCAAAGACAAAAGTCAGGAGAGATATACAGAATTTAATCAAATATCCTATTAAGGTATTAAGAGTTAAGTTGTCCTAAGAGGCAAGAATATGAAAAGAGCCAGCATGGTGGCTCACACCTAGAGTCCCAGCACTTTGGGAGACAGAGGCAGGTAGATTGCTTGAGCTCAGGAGTTTGAAGTTGCTGTGAGCTATGATGCCACAGCATAGTCTCAGCTACTTGGGAGGCAGATGCAGGAGAATGGCTTGAGCCCAGGAGTTGGAGGTTGCTATGAGCTGTGATGCCACAGCACTCCACCAAGAGCGACAACTTGAGGCTCTGTCTCAAAAAGAAAAAAAAAAGAAAGAAAGAAAACATCACTGGTTGGCTCGGCACCTGTAGCACACGAGTTACAGCACCACCACATGCACTGAGGGTGGCAGGTTCGAACCTGACCCAGGCCTGCTAAAGAACAATGACAATGGCTCGGTGCTTGTAGCTCAAGCGGCTAAGGCGCCAGCCACATACACCTAAGGT